TGTGCAGTAAAGAAGACTCTCAATTATAGCTGATGGCGAGGGATGTTACCAGATGCCTTGAGGGGAGATATTTTGGATCGGTAGACTAAATTTCAAGCTCTTGGCAAAAAACACAATTCCACACACTTGTATTCGCTCCTTTACTTATATGGAAATCTGGGTTATAGCTGCTATAGTGAGCAACTTAAGCAACAGAGGATGCTAGGTTGAAATCCTCAAGTTGTGTTTTTATAACTAAACCTTTGTCCATTAATCATAACAATCTTCCGGCACGGTGGGCGGCACGGTGGCTGAGTGGATAGCACTCTCGCCTCTCAGCAAGAAGGTCCTGGGTTCGAATCCCGGTCGGACCAGGGCCTTTCTGAGTGGAGTTTGCATGTTCTCCCCGTGTCTGCGTAGGTTTCCTCCGGGTACTCCGGTTTCCCCTACCACTAAAAATATGTCCAATAGTTCTGGCATGCGCCTCCTGTACTGGCGACCGCGCTCCCATCTCTGTGTGGAGTGAGAGACAAATGCCCATAATTAACAATTGTAAACCGCTTTGAGACTCAGATCTGCAGTGAAAAGGCGGTATATAAATAAAAACTTACTAACTTACTTACTACTTACTTCCACTTTTTACACTGTTATCGGCGTTCTCAGTGGATTGCGTTTGAGCCAAATAAAATGTCCGATTAAAGCTGAGGTACCAACTTTCAATGCACAAAATTCAAATGTCAGTTTTCACATGCATGCATTTTTGGGTCCCTGCAACATCTTTTGATAAGCTTTTTCAGACAAAACTGTGTTAAAGAAAGAACCACCTTCAGTCGACCAATCAGCTCTAAGCTCAAAAGTGTCAAATAGTGACACTGTAAGTATGCAAAAGATAACATATTTTCGAATGGGCTATATGCACGGGGAGGCGTGACGTCATTTCCTGTTAACGCAGATCAGCCCGTCCACTTCCTGCCTATGCTATCCTATGGCTTTTAGTGATGTTTTTTAGTAATTAGATTGATACGTTCAGCTGTGAGACTGACCCAAAAGTGTCACTGTGCTTTCTCTCTGAAGTAGAGCTTTGACTGAGGCCACTCAGAGCGATTTTTAAACTTTATAAAAACACAATGACAGCACAATCAAAGAGCACTGTTGTGTCCCAAAAATGCCCAGTATCCTCACAGTTTAATTCCCGTTGGAGCATTATTTGGGAAACTCGTGTAAACCACTGCTGAACTCCAGTGAAACTCAAGCTGTTTCCCGCGAACAGGAAGTGAAGTGGGGCTTTAGCTAAAACCCGGAAGTGGTGCGTGCATAGAAACCATAGAGCACATGTGTCAAAGTCAAGGCCCGAATGAATTATCTATGGCCCCCCGGGACATTGCCTACCATTGAGGCAATGTATTGACCCCTGAAGCTCGCTCGCCCCCCCGGCGGGAGCAAACGAGGAAAAAAATACATCTGCTGGCAATAGCAGATGTATTTTAAACTTCATAAGCCACAAGCTATATATCATTTTAAAGCTTATTTTCTCAGCTATATTTATATGTAAGTGTAAACAATATCAGACTTCGCATTAAAAAGATATAACGCATAATATGGGCACAAAATAAATCACGTCTGTATTTGTTTTTTACCTTTCGTCTTCTGCTGCTCCAACAAATTAGACTTTCCCCATCCTTGCTTAGTCGCTTTCTCTCCGTAACTGTTCATTGAAGAAGAATATCCACTTGTATTTCCCAAAGTATAATCCATTCTTCAGATTTAATCAAAAAACGCCCCGAAAAGAGGTCCAGACTGCTCTTTTACATTTCACCAAGTTTGAGCTTTTTTTTTTTAAACTATTTTCATGTTCTCAGATGTCTATTACATCTAATGTGTACAGTATGAGGATTGGCTTTAGAGCATATTTTATCGAGCCAACAGGTGTCACCGGCACTGCCTCTGGATGTTGAGAAACATTGAACCAGTCCGGCCCTCGGCGCGTAGCAAACATTTTTTTTTGGCCCTCTGATGTATTTGACTTTGACATGCCTGCCATAGAGGGTCTTTCAGTTGGGTCGGCACTAGATCATATACGGAATCGGGACAAAACCGGAAGTAACAATCCTACTTTCAAATTAATTTGAGACTAATTCGTCCTTAAATGGTGACTGGTTAAGTTTTAGGTGTTTAAGTAAGATGGTTAAGTTTAGGGTTAAGGCTGGGTTGGGGTTATTTAATGGGAATGACTGGTTAAGTTTAGGCATTAATAGGTAGTTTGTTATATTTACTTCCGCTTCCGTCCCGATTCCGTATATGATCTAGTGCTGACCCGGAATGTTGTCGATGGATTCATGCATGTTTGTTTAATATTTATACTCCCCCATTTGAGACATCATTGCTTGCCAGTTACTACCAGTACACGAGTGATAACCAGATGATCTAGGCAGCAATGTGCAAGTATTTTGGAAGGAATGAAAAATATATACTAAAAGTAATCTACAACTGGCTAACGTGACCTGAACTTAGTTGTTGTAATACTTTGACAGCCAAAATTCTGCATTTTAGTTTGTGAATAGAAAAGTCTGGGGATGCTTTTGTTGTTTTGAGATTAAAGACAGATTAAAACTATATAATAAACAGAAGCATAAGGTTTTGGAGATGAAACAATGAATACAAAAATACTTCAAATAGAAATTGAATGCTTTAATCATTCTTTCAAATGCTATAATGACCATGTTTTTATCCATCTGAAACTATTAAAATTGTTTTATTCATTTTTCACAAATATTTTTCAATTATTTAATGATGTACTTATTTTTAGTCGTCTTCAATCTTTAATAAAATGTCAGAGTTTGAATTGTAGTCAATTTTACATATGTTTCTACTTTTTTCTCTAAAACAAACATATTTAAACATGCATAATGAAAAATAACAAAAGATCATGAAATAGTCAATCAATGACTATTAATGACAATCTACTCAAAGACCAAAACAACCCTTAGCGACAGCCGATTGTTAAAAATCATCTCACAAAAACATGCATGCACTTCTATATCATCATTTGTTCCACGTTTCAGAAGCGTCCATAGGTATCCTGGTGAATTCCTCAGACACCTCAGACAGAAGAAAGAAGCAAAGTAAAGCTCCCTTAAACGTTTGAGCGGAAACAACACAAGTGTCGTCACGGGGGCCTCGCTGCGCACATGAAACGCCTCCAGAAGACACCTGGAGAGCCACGGGGACCTCGCGCATTCATTTAAACAGCAAAATCACTGTTCGCAAGTAAACACGCCACTGGCAAGACTTTCAACTCCCGAACCAGTGGAGAGCCAGGAAAGCACAAAACGTACACTGGAAAAGTTTACAACAGTGAAACAAACAAAAGCATTGCGTGCTGTTCAAGCCACTGAAAGATGGAAGCAATCAGCTGCTGCCCGACCACGGCAATCTTTCATTTAAAGCTGGGGTACCTCACTTGTTTTGTTATTGAGATAAAAAATATATTCAACATTATGGGATGGCAAAGGTCGACATAATTGGAGCGCCCCCTACAGGACTACATACTTCCTTCATGGGGCCTGCACTAGTGTTGTGAAAATACTGTAGACTATATTTACTGTAGATCAGGGGTGTTATTTATTATTTATGATTGAAATGCCTTGTGTGATTGTTTCTTTCTTATTCTGCTCAGCACTTTGAGTTGCCTTGTGTATGAATTGCCTTGTTGCCTTGTGTATGAACTATAGAAAAAAAAAAGAAAGGGCCAGTGTGGCAGAAGGATTTAGTTCCAACATGAGCAGCAGCACACCAGACTCCACCCATTTCCTCAAATCTTCAGGTTAAAACTGGTCGGCAGGAACTACAACCTGCAGCCACCCGGCCCTTTAAGAACTGGTTTAACACCCCTGCTAACCCGCTGCCTCAATGAAACCCAATTGGGATGAGCACATGGACAAAGTTTTGCTCCAACTCGCTCTGGCTCCTATTGACTTAGATTGAAAACTAATTTCCTCTAGCTCAGTAACCCTTTCTGTCACACTCACCATTTTGGGCTTAAAAATCTGTGGTTAAGTGCTCTTTATCTATATGGTGTTTTAATTATGTATTTATTTTGATATTGACTTTAAAAATCCAGATATGATTCAAGATTCATAAGGATGCCCACTTGGATGCCTTCATTCAAAACTACAGCTTTCTTTAGCAACCATGTTAGCAACATGACAACCTCTGTTACGGTCAAAACAAAAGCCCATATAAGGAAAATGACTGGCTTATGTTCAAATCAACTTCTTCCACATTTGGCAAACACTACATCAGCCTCGGTCAGTCCACTCCTAATATACAGTCTATGGTTGTGAACAAGTGAATATGCTAGCTTTTGGATACTTGTAAGAAAGATCCCTATGAGCTACTATTTGGCGCTTCAAGCTGATTGGGGGTAGTCTTCTCTTTTTCACTTTTCTGTCTGAAATATGTATGTGAGAACTGTTTTGAGAGTGATAACATATTTTTTTCATAATATAAAATTGTTGTGTTTTGTGTACCGGAGTTTTACCTGGCAATTGTCAAAATAAGATGAATTGGGTATGTGTAGGCCTACTTGTAATCTTTGAGCAGAGTTGGGAAGTAAATGTTTAATTGAGAATACACAAATGAAAAAGGAAAATTTTTTGGTATTTCATCAAATACTAAGAGTACCTTGATATTGGCAAATATTTAGCCTACTTGGTGTACGGCAGACTCAACTTTCTAAACTTCCCAGAAAGACTAAATGTAAACTGTAAACTACCCCTCCCCCTCGCATGTTCATTATGTGACAACAAGCACCACGACAGCTGGAAAAGGTTAAAAAGAAGCGGAAATTAGAGGAGGCTAAATTTACATTGCACCTTACTTTACACCCGATACTTGCGTCGGCCATCTCTGTACACAAGCCAGCTGGGTAGTGAAGTTCACAACATTGCACCAGCTCAAATAACTGTTAGTTTGTCATTCATAACAGACTTCCCAGGCTTTTTTCAAGGTGTCAAACTTACTTCTGATCGGCTCGTGGTGATTGGTTCTATCCTCTGTCACATGACCTTCCAAGATTGGTTTCCAGGACGACAGGTTTCTTCCAGTTGAGTCAGTGTCCGTAACATCTAGGGCCACAAGCATCATTTGACAATTAACCAAATCTACTGTATTACATTATTTTTCATACAGATCAAAAAAAGGCTTGGTTGATTAAATACAACCCTAAAAACTATTGTAAATCTGATCCAATAAATATATATACATAGACATACAATCACTGAAATATTAAGCAATTTATAAAATAGATTGTTTGTTGGCTTGAAAATTCAGCCAAAAAATGCTGGTTATCACTAATAATAAATAATAGCAGTCTGCAATAACAAGCATTCATTTTGTTCATATTGAAAAAATATAAATATGATAAAAAGTACTGATTAAAAGGAATTTTTCTTCTCTCTCTTGATATGATTAACAACTTAACTGTGATTAGCAACGTCAACAACCTTTTTTGCATCGTGATCATAGACTGTAAATATTAACAGACGCTGTCACTCCCATCTCCACCATTGAAACTAATGGGCTTTTTCAAAATGGCCGCAGGGCAAGAAAATGTGAAAAAACGCATTTGCGCATTCATTTAACAAGTGTATTCAAAAGTCCACAGAGGCTAAATTGGGCTGGTGCAAAAAACTCCCCTTGGCATTGACACGCATCTGGAACGTATAGCGTTCGGCCAAGAGCCAACTTTTGGACAATCCTGTAAAGCCGTTTTTGAGAAGAAAGAAGACGGCATACAAAAGCATTGGATAATTCTCTTTCCGGGTCCACCCCCACCGGCTAGGAGTGAGATTGCAAGCATGTCAGCGGACATGCTCATGGACCTTTTTGAGCAGGGACCCGTCCCTACTGGTTGTGATATATTAATTGATTCTTTTTTTTTTTTTTATCTTGTAATGCTTACTATAAAATAGACAGCATTCTGCACTCTGACTTGGAATCACTGAAATGCCATGGAACTAGTGTTCTTAAAAAAGGCAAAGTAGAAAAGACAAACACTCATTGCTTGCCTTGGAAAAAGTCAAATGAACAATAATCAGAGCAGAACGCATGTGACGTTGTTGGCATAAAGCAATATTTAAACCAATATCCAATTCAAAATGAACAGAACAACGTGTGCTGTCACACTGACCACTGAGCGCTGCGGGTCTGCGGAAAGAATCCACAAAGAGTCTAGTGGGACACAGCAGTGGTCTGGAGCCGGTTCACTACTGTTCGGTGTTATCACGTAAGTCTCGGCTGCATTGGTTAAATATGCACCAACAGAGTGAGTCATATTTGTTTTCATTTGGCCTACACTACAAAGAAAGAAATGAAAGTAAATAAGTCATATTTATTATACAGAAGTAGCCCCAGGGTATGCAAGAGGGACTATGTCCCCCAACTGGGTTCTTAGGGGGAGCTAAAGGAAGTGTGCCTGGAAAGGGAAGTGTGGCTACCTCAGCTCAGACTACTGCCAGGAACGTGTAAAGCAGAAGAAGGAAGAACAATTTATTGAACTTTTCGGATCGGGTACCTGTTTATTGACATACAAGTTGTTGTTTTGTGCTTTACAATAACTGTAAATGTTACTTCAGTACAGTGTTCATGGTTTAAAACTGATCCAGACCAGAGCACGGTCCAGACCAATAAGCGTAAATCCACTAGAGGAAGGCTCATTTCTTTTGAAAAGTGCTAATAAAGCGTTCAGAATTTCACTCTGAACCAGAGCAGTGAAAATGGTCTGAACCAAACAGACTCTGCATACATCAACCAGAGAATAGGACGCAGCTCCTCACCAGCGTATACGTTTCTAACAGTTATCTCGTTGCTTGAAAGATATGCGTGGTGTGATATAAAGTGTTATTTACTCGGCTCGCCTCTCCACAGACATGACCTGTATCCTTGCCTAGCTCAGTCTTTTGCATGTCTCTAATGTTGGTGGAAAGTTTAATGACATACTGTTGAACATTCAAGACTAAACAACAATTAAATGCATCCGGGCAAAACCAGGACCTTCCAGCAAAGTGGCAGTGTAAAATTTGAAAAAGAAAAGCAATGAAAATGTCCAATTGTTTTCCCCAAAGCCTTTCCCGTTTTCCCTCATAGTGTCAAGTTCAAATGAGAGATCCCGTATTAGTCCCACAGCTGGTCAATTTCATTTTTGTACTATTTTAGTTCTGTAGTTGATTTGATGCAACATAGTCAACTCAAACTGAACTTTTGCACAGCTTTGATAAGACAATACCTTTGCCTGTACAAATGTGAGATGGTTTTTCCAGTGAATCCATTCTATTTCATGTTCATGAATCACGAGTGAACTATAACACAGTTTCTGCACAATATGAGGCCTAGGCTGTTCAGGTAAGGCCTGCCAGAATCTGGATCTCATTTTCTCTCCTCCTGCTGCTCCTGGGTGTGCTCTACCTGCCAAGCTGCCTTTTTACTGCCATAAAGGCGGCATTCATGTGCATTGGAAAAAGTTAGTGAGCAAAGCTGTAGCCTGATAGCTGCACGAAAACAGGAGAGGAGACACATCCACTCATCTCTGAAAGAAATCCACTTCAAAAAAACAGTTTGGGGATTGTTCGTGGTCAATGAACAGAAGTGCTTTGTTCAGCCGATGATTTTATTAACCATTTCATGCCAAATTCCAACTGCCTGACTTAAAACTAGCCCTTTGAAAAACATTTAGCTATGACTCAGCAGAACTTACGCAGAACTTTTATAATGCTACTTGTAGTTGAAAGTTTTGCTTAGTGTTGCCACAATAGAAACATTTCATACTAAATTTTGAAATAAAGTTTTAGTAAGTAAGTCATGTTTATTCATATATTGCATTTTACAGACTAAGGTCACCCAAAGCGCTTTACAATGTTCAGAGTTCAGATATTTTCCATTCTCTCCACATGGTGATGACGTCAAAGCCCCCAATCAATGGTGTCATTTATTCACTCACTACGTATACCTATTGTACATGTTTTAGTGGTATGGGAAACCGTAGCACCCGGAGGAAACCTACGCAGACACAGAACATACAAACTCCACACCTGGATGTGGAATTGAACCCAGGACCTTCTAGCTGTGAAACACAATCTCTAACTGCTGTGCCACTGTGTCACAGTGAAATAGGTCATATAAACACATTGGTTTTTTTTAAAGTTTGCACACACGGGAAGATTTTTTCTTTTTCTTTTATGAATTTTTATTATGAATGATAACGCAAACACGTTTTCCACTGATGTTTAGTTGTTATGTGAAGTCATTTATTACTAATCAAACATGTTCCTATTGTCAAATAATACTGACAACATAAATCTAATGATTAAAAGTCTCCACCCCCCAGTTCTCACTAGCATGTATTGCCCTTTAACATGTGTGACAGTGTGGGATCTTTTGTCAGAGATGTGGTCGAGCTCTTTCTGATGGTAAAGCTGCCCATTCTCCCTGGCTAAAAAAGTCTTCAGTTTGTGTACATTCCTGGAACGCCCTGCAAGAACTGCATATTTGAGATGTCTAAAGCGATTCTATCATTTGAATACATTAATTTACGCTAATTTGACAAATAATGGCTTCCCTTAAAGAGCGACTAAACTCCAAACTCATAAACTATTGCTTTAAGCAGCAATGAAAACTGGAGGGTTTTTTTGTGTGACAAGTGAGCTGTCAATCACAGCCCAGACCACGCCCAACTCTAAGCCCCCCTTCTTGTCCCTTGGTCCTCCAGGCAACGCCCTTTTTAGAGAAAATTTTCAAATCTTCACGTGGGCGGAGTAAGGCTGGGCACAGGTGTTTAGTCGCTCTGTAACTACTAACTATGTGTGAAAAAAAACACATTAACTTAATCTCTGCCTGGGTGTGTAAACTTTATGCATGTTCTTTACTTTACCATTTTAGACTTGTGACAGTTATGATAAAGCTCAAGACAATTCTTTATAACAATTAGCAATTATAAAAATTCTGAAACAGATACACATACTGATACTTTGTCTTAGAAATTGAATACCCGATATGAACCGACAACAGTGAAGGGAATCCCAGCAAACTTATTACAAATCGGTCCAATTGTGTTTTCTGTTGATCTTGTAAATAACAACAGAGTGACCGTCTAAGTAAAAGCTAAAGATACTGTAGGTGACATTTTGGGCTAATAGTCAATAAACAGACTTGTTACATCAAAATGAAAGTAAACTTAGTTACTTTTGAAATTGCAAAGAGAGTGTGAAACTTTTTAAAGTTTCATTTAATTCAAATACTTGATGCCCTTGGTCTATTGTTTATCAATTGTCCTCCAGCAATCTTACTGGTTGTGGTTATGCCAAGGGGAGAACCCATAGTAATAGTATCCCATGATCAGAAATATACAATCTTTTACAAATGTTATACAATTGAGGTTGACATAATCTGTAAGGCCTCCTCAAGATCAGATGAGATAAGAGATCCTTTATTCGTCCCACAGTGGGGAAATTTCAATGTTGCAGCACACATACAGGACAGTAGTAAGAGCACATAGGGAGCACAAAAATTAAACAATATAAGTAGACATTATCATGCATCCCTGATATCAATTCAAGAAAATATGCAACTTTTGTCTTGTTTTTGCGTCTTCTAGCGCCAATTAGTGACTCATTTCTCTACACTTTTGATGACTCTGTAAGCAGTGACGGATGGCCCTTGGAACGAATGGGCCCCGGTTAAATCTGGCACTTATATGAGCACATGGGGCGTGTGATGCATCGCCGTATTTACTGATCACACTTAGAAATAAATTGCTCCATTCTCAGAACATCAGCAGTCCCCAGAGAGAGGCGAGGACAGTCTTAACTATGAGTGCCTTTGAAGGTCCAATGAAAATCCATTCGCAATCCAGCAGCCGCACTGATTGCTTACTTTGTCCTACTTTGCTATTTTTTGACAGTGCCATAATGGCGCTTGGTATAAATAGGATAGTTAACGCTCTGTTGCTTGTTTGAAAAGAAAAAGAAGAAAAGAGGAAAAAAGGGTTAAGAAATATAAGCGTATTTGACATGTGATAATCTTAGGGGCAACTTGACTAGTTAATTAAAACTCGGTAATTGGCTGTGGTTACTGTTTATACTGTAGTTAGGGCATAAGTGAAGAAATGTGCATAACAGCTTTCACCAGTTGTATAATCTACTTATGATGCACTTCATGTGTGTTCTATTAGTGAGAATGGAAAATCATGCATTGTGTTTTCTAACTTTAACTGAAATAACGAGTAACTTTCTCAAGGATGTGCGTAACATTCTGACGCAGAACATGGATTTCTACTTAAAGCTATTTAGGAGGATTTTCCCAAATTCTAGGAAAGAACTGCCCTCTCCACTTTTTGAACACACCTCTCTGGTCTGATTTGACGAGCACGTATCACCAGAATGATTGACAATTAGGAGGACTAATAGTCTTGATGATCCACCCAGAAGTAGAAAATCGAGCAAAACTTTCGAGTATTCTTTTTTGTTTTTTTCATGTTGGTCATCTTATGGACCAACGACTCCTATGTTTTTGTTATTAAATTGTATTTCCTTTGTTAGACAATTTCATTTTCTGATCTGCTGTTGGTGAATCCATAACTTTGTAAAGTCCTTTGAGAAGACTGCTGCTGTAATTTTGGGCTATACACAATAATTTGAATTGAAAGCTGGAAATTATGTGGTGTTCAACAATACTTCCAAGATAATGTATGCCGATATCTACTGTATTTATATGGCAACATGTACAACAACAACATGTGTTTTACATGAACAGAAGTTTAATAAAGAGGGGTTATTTTCTCATGTTGTGCTTATTCTTTATATTGTGTGTTTGAAAATGTTGTCCTACCCAATTATACTCTGTTATGTCCCAAGCTAGATAAACTAGATTTTCTCTTAGTTTATTGAGACCATTACTTTTTACTTTTCCTTATGCCAATAAACTGAATGAACACAACTTTACTCTATGTACGTTGTGATAGTAAACCACTCTAATCCTCTTTTGTTATGTATCCATTCATATCATTCTTTTCCTTACACTTTATGAATATGAACTTATGCAAAAGCTACTATACAGCTTTATGAGAAGATTAAAACAGTTTTTTCCAACTCAATGAGACACTTTCTCAGAGCTGGGCAAAATGCACAGAACCATATTATATTATATATTATTAGTAGAGACATTGGCCCAGTCATGTAAACAACAAAGGCCAGATTTGTTTTTCCTTGGCTGGACATAGACTCACCGTGTGCAGTGGACAGTAGAGGTCTCGTCTCCAGCTCAGGGCCCTGTCCAGCACCCGCCGGCCCTTCAGCAGGAGGACGCACGGTCTCTTTGGACATGGGACAGTCCTCAGGCGCTCACGAGTACCAGTTCCTCCTTATCCTTACCCCTCAGCGCTTTGGGAAAAAAAAAACACAATCAAAAGTCTCATTTATGACTTCGGGATCATTAGACAAGGGCAACCCTCGCGATCATTACTCAAGTTATGACGTGGTAACGCTGTAAAACTTGGTGGAAATTTCCCATCGCGTTTTACATATAAACTGACTGACGGATTCCATATGTAGTCCAGATTTCGGTTCTCACACCTCCCATGCTTTCTCAAAAATGCGTTTAAGTGAATATGGTCTAATCGCAGACGCACTGTTTATAACGCGTAAAATAAAACTTACCTTTCAAACATGTCAACTCCCTCGCTTCAAATCTGAATTATTTCCATCCTTCCTTCCTCCAACGCGCGCCAGAGACGTATGGGAGGAAAAATACACAACACAAAAGTAGCTGAGAAGAGTGATCGCCCCAAAACTTTTCTCCAAGTTGACTTAGTTGCCAGTGCGCCACAGCTCCGCTCGGTAAAGCCGGTGACGCATTGAGAAATAACAACAAAAATCGTCGCGACTGCTTCGACGCGCTGTGGCGGCAGTTTGCAGAGGAAAAGTTGTGCTTCTCAAACTTTTTCATCATATCCGGATTCTTGCAGTCGGCTCCAGCCACTGGCGCTGCTCCTCTCTCCCTCTGCCTCCCACAAGAGCAGCGCGCAGTTCATACAGGCGTCTAGGCGCGCGTTTAGGAACACAAAACAGACGCGTTCATGCAAAGTTGGGCATGGGATGTTGTTAATGATTTGTAGCAGAAAAAGAAACGAGTGAAATATTTAAATAAAGCGGTAGTATGTAACTTTCAAGTATTTGCATAATATGATAAAGTGGAAAAAGCCATCATATTTTGGCACAGAATAACAACGATAATATTTAAATAGCTTCTTATTAAAGTTTACAGAGTGCTTCATGAGTGATAACCACTGTGGTTCTGTTGGTTTGTTCTCCCTATAGGTTTTCTCAGGATGCTCCGGTTTCCCCTACCACTAAAACGTTTTCACATGTGTGTATTTTTGGCCTCTTTTACACATTAAAATCAGCTTTCTCAAACAGAAAAGTGAAATATAGCACCACTCTCACTCAGCCAATCAGCTCTCAGTCCAGTGGTTCAAAAGGTGAGTATTGGGCTCTTTTTATGTAATCAATCGAAATGAACACATGCAAAAGTTGGGTGCCTCAGTTCTTCTCCTTCAAAACAAGATGGCTCCGTGTAGATCAGGTAAACGAAATGAAGCCTTCTCACATAAAAAGACAACATTTGTATACCCTTTTTAATCAAAACAAACCATGTAAAAATGAAGAGACAGTGGTATATACATTCATTTATTTGAAAAAAAAAACAGAGATTTTCAAATGTTAGTGATTATAACATTTATTACTACATTAGCAGTAGAGTGGACACTATGCAGACCTTTACAGTTGGGCCCCTTATACAGGTCAACAATATTGTGAAGCATAATAATGACAAATAGCAGTTCACATGACTTCAAATCCACAAGCACCAAGATGTTGCTTCAGTTCAGGAAAGCTTATAGATAATTGCTATATTTTAGTGTTTTCATCTAGTCATCTTTCTAATTCAGTCACACAAGTGGATATCTTGTTGAGCAAATCGGTTTGTTGTGAAATTTCTATAATAAATAAAGATAAGAAGTCTTGAATCGCATACAAAGAATGCAAAATAATATGATAATAAAATATAGTGTAGTGGGAGAGAAACAAGATAGTCAAAAAAACTGGTGGAGTCACCGCCGGCAGGACCAGGGGATCACAGTGTACTGTAGATTAGAGTTTAGTTATGACCTTGGAAATATCAAACAAATAAGTATTCAGCATTTTGTCTTCTAATCTTGGTAAATTGCGTCCTGCACTGGCAGTTTATCTTACCTAAAATTACACTTAAAAACCCTAAAAAGAGATATTATTGAAACTTGAGTTTGAATGTGTCTTTCAAATCTTATAATCACATCCAAGATTTCCATAACAAGTTCAAGTGCTGTGTTTTTCAAATTTAAAGGCGACAGTGTATAACATGCATGCTGAACCACCTGCTGGAGTTTAGCCAGAATCAAATGGTGTATCATGAATGAGTGCGTCATTCTGCTCTCTGGTTGGGTAATCTGCTTGAAAACTGTAAACATAAGAATAAAATGGACACGATGCCCATAATCTTATTTTTAAGAATAACTACATTTTCAACTTTTATTCAGAAATGGTCAAATATGATTTTGACCTTTTGTGACCTATTCTCTGGGGACACGCATAAAAATGTGGATGTAATTTAAAATGATAATATTACATGAGGCCCCTTTAACTCCCATGCAATTTGTTTGATGAATGAACTCTATGAACTCTATCGACAAAAACATATATAGAAAATCTGAAAAATTGCAATCAGATATATGGCCAAAGTGGTGCAGCCCTGTGATTAACTAAGAAACAGAACTTTGACATCTGCATAATGCTTATCCTCCCTGTGCGGCCTGCTCTGTCCGAACGTGGCATTGTTAGCTTTATGCTGATTGCCATCATAGCCATTGAACTGTATTGGTAACAGTATAAGTGAGATTTGCGCTGGGCTAAGGTGGACCGTGCGGGTGATTGATGTGAAATATGCCCTCCTCATTGACTGGCTGAACTCCATTTTCTGCTCCTAATGCAGAAATCACTTCGGGTCCCCGGCATAATGATTTACGATGAATCTGTGTCAATGTTGAACTCGGCAAACTCTGCGTAATCCATCTTGCAGATATACCTAGCTACACCCCGCCTCACCCCAGCCTCAGCCATGGGTGTAGGTGGCCCCTCTCTCCCCGTCTATAAGTGTTGAATCCATTACAAGGCTGATGTGTAATCACAGAGGACCCCAGTGCCCCTCAAACTGTAATTACCTGAATACTGATACTCCCTCACTCCAACCCCCAGAGCTGCTTCTACGCCAAGAACTCCGTTAACCAGCATGCATTGCTTTGGCTTGACAATATGGGTGGCAGTTGACAATAGAATTTGACCTTATGAAATTGAGCCACGGTTCAAAACTGAAAATGAGTTACCACTGGACATTTCAGAAAGAGGCATTACAAATATTTCAGATTTGTGTTCATTTAATTGTAATAGCAAGAAAAAGACACAACTAATGTTTTACGTTGAGTATTTTCAATGTTTTAATTCAACATAAGCATTCAATTAAGTGTGTAAAAAGGCATTGGGTTGAACTATTTGGATTTCTGTATATTTCAAAACAGGTAATCCACATTTAGAGCTCCAGGACTTTTAAGGCCATATTGAAGCAAATTAAAGCATGTTAGCACTTTTTTTTTCACACTTTTTTTTTCCAGACTTTGAGTTTCTCAGATATTTTGTCCATCTCATCCAGGGGAGTCCTGAGACATTCCCGGGTCATCTCTGCTGCATGTCCTTAGCCTTCTCCTGGGCCTACTCCCAATGGGACATGGCCAGAACACCTGCACAAGATCCAAGATTCAACATTTCATTGTCATTGTCACAGAGTGCAATGATTAAGATGAGATTTAAGTTTTGAGCATCAATACTGCATAGTTTGATGTTGAGTCTCTGGAACCCAATGATCCCCATAAATAACTGGGATTGTGCCCCTTTTGGCATTTGTGCAATTGCAATAAGAATGCTAATGTTTGCAGACTGAACCCCGACAGCAGAGGCAGGGGACTGAAGATGATTCACAAGTTTATTTACTATGCTGGAGTTGAGCGGGTAGTGGAGGCAGGGAGCAGGCCAACATACCTGGAGTTTAGATCAAAAAATCAACTCATTTTGACATTTAAAGCAGCTTGGCTCGTGTACAAGAGTCTGCGTGGCCTCGCACCAAAGTACAGCTGGTGCCCAGAGTCAGGGAGGTAGCATTTCAGAGTTGTGTGGCTAAAATCTAGAATTTTTTTTTGTGAAAATTTGAGACAGGCTCCTACTCTGACAATGTTCAAATCCAAGTTAAAACAGATCTGTTTAGCTGTGCATACAACTGAAGGATTGTATTTTTAGTCATTTTAAAGCTGCACTAACTGACTTTGTGAAAATTTCGACCCTCACTCTTTCTGCTTGCCCTCCCCGCACGGAGTTTTTGCCCCCCACTACCCCCCTCCCCCTCAGCCTGTGCTCATATGCTGTTGTTAACTTTACGGAGCTAGCGTCTCACAATATGGATCGCACATTTGAACGTGGATGGCGTGACCATAGAATGATAGAACCGGGAAGCGCGGAGGAACAAGACTTTCTTTTGGCTGTTTCACTGTGTAAGCAGAAACCGGTAACGAAGACAAGACAGTTTCAGGTTAGCCTCCGCCACTTGTTTACCTCAGCTGTCTGTGCTAACAAGAGACCTGTTGCTTTTCTCAAGAAAGTGGGGGCCAGTGGTCCGCTGTGATTGGTCACAATCTGGTCCCAAAACAAATTCTCTTCCTTGTTTCACAAAAACTTGATCTGAAATAAAATGACACGCCAGGACAAATCTGCACTACATTTTTTTCAAAAGGACGTATATCCCAATGCACTGCATGGATATGGATTGAATTTTTGTAATGAATAAAAAAATAAAGTGAGGTAATGCAGCTTTAATTTGCTGCGATTAGCTATGAATGTAATGCCTTGTGGGATTTTAATGTGTATTTTTTTGTTTTGTTAATTAAGCACTTTGCCTTGTTTATGAACTTTTGCTAAACACATAACCTTACCTTGCCTTGTTTTTTCAACATTTATTTTAAAAAAAAATCACTTTTCCCGTAGAGAATTGTCACCTGCCCTCCAACTGAAACACGCAACCTATAGCCACGCAGAGCAGAAGCCATTCCTGTTTTGACTCGTGCGACATGACCATGAAATCAACCTCCTCTGTGCTACGCGGCGACACCACTGCTGCTTCTGACAAACATTATCCGCGGCGTGATCAAGTGCAGCGCGTCAGGCCCTGTGCCGCGGACGTGCCGAGC